ACCTGGTTGTCCTAACCATGTTCTTTCTTGTTTGCTTTTAGGAAGTAGATATAACATTAGCTCAGCAGTGGACAAATAATTTCCCAAAGGCCATATGAGAAATTTAGGCTGCTGTACTGATAGGTTGAATTTAGTTCTGCTAATATTAATCTTATCATTTCATAAAAAGCAGTACATTTTATGGTTTTGATTAGCTGCTATTGGTAAGGATGCAAGTTATGTCTTATTTAAATTTGATTTCTAATTTCCAATTGACCTCACGCAGGCTGAATAGGGACAGCCAAAGGGCCAGATGTGGCTCAGAGGCTGTAAAAATGCCCAGGTCTGCAGTAAGTCCTCCTATTTTTCTCTGCAACAACTATGTATGGTAGCTTGGGCTCAAAGAGTGAGAGAGACTAACCACTAGTCACCTGTGAGTTTCCATGGTTAAAGATGAGCTAGAATCTTGTTCTCACCAGTGCTAATCCATTATTGTAACCATTACTTTACACCAGAGTCCCCAACTCCTGGACTGCAGATGATTACTAGACCATGGTCCTTTCAGAACTGGTCCACAGAAGTGGTGGGCAAGCATGCATGCACAGCTCCATTTGTGTGAACAATGGGCAAGCGTGCCTGCTGCTTGTGCAAATGGAACAGTGCACGCATGCACGCTTGTCCATCGCTCACGTAGAACCATTCCCTCTCCCTGCCAGTCCGCAAAGTCAGAAAGGTTGGAGACCGTTGCCTTACACTATCAAGCCAAATCACTAAATATGTATCTTTTATAAAGCTATGAAAAGGATAGGTAGAGAAAACAAGGGAAGGCAACAATCATTCCCAGAATTCCAAATAAAATCAATATAGTTACTCGAGTTAAACAAGTTACTTATAAAATCCTTCAATAAATGTTTGGATTTCATGGATTTTGCTTGCTAACTAAGATTGTATGCCAACATAACAACATGCTGTAAGTTTGAATGCCAATCGATAAATTACCTTTCCCTGTTAGTCCTTTTTCCCCACATTGCCTGCATATCTATCTCTTCCAGCACTTGAGTTAATCCAATTTATATGTTAACCTATATAGAATTAATTTGGCTGTGTAATCTTCCTAGTTTTATTTAAGACATGGCAATGCTGACAGAAAAAAAATGTGATTACTAATTTGTCTGTTGCAAAGAATGAATGCTTGTCCAAAGAAGCAAATATGATCATGTATAAGAGTTTCTTCTACTTACCTTGTTAGACAGAAATAAGTGTTGGGTGTATCAGAGGGCCATAAGAACATAAGTAGTGCCTTACTGGATTGGACTCCTGGCCTATATATTCCAACAGGCTTATCTCACAGTTGGCCAACCAACTGTACAGGGAAGCCATCTAGATTAGGGATGTCAAACTCAAGGCCCGGGAGCCGGATGCAGCCCATGGGGTGCTTAGATCTGGCCCATGGGGCCACCCTGGAAACAGCAAAGAACTGGCTTGTGGTGCCTCTGCCAGTGAAAATGGAGGTTGGGAGAGCTGTGTGCGGCCATCCCGAGCTCTGTTTTCGCTGGCAGAGGGTTTCCGGAGGCTATCGCAGCCAAAAATGGAGTTCACGAGAGCTGCGGGCAGCCCTCCCAAGCTCCATTTTCACTGGCAGAGCGGTCAGGTCACCACAGGCACCTCCCAACATGAGTGACGTCGAGCTGGCCATGCCCATCCCAGTCGTGTCCACCCCGCCCCCCCAAGGTCCAACACAACCTTGATGAGGCCCGCAATGAAGTCGAGTTTGACACCCCTGATCTAGATAATCAGAGACTTAGACTTAGAATAACTTTATTGTCACTTTGAATGTACACTAATGTACACTACATGAAAATGAAATTTCATTGCATACAGCTCTCAAAGGGTCTCCACCTCCCATATACCCTAGATCAGTGATGGCTAACCTTTTTGCCATCGTATGCCAGGACAGAGGGGGCGGGGGAGGGTCGCGCATGCACGTACCCACGTGCATGTGTGCGCAACCCCCTCCCCCCTCCCCCCCACCGCTCCTGGCACAGGATGGCCTGGTAGGCCCGTTTTTCTTTATTACCTGGTTCCAGATCCTCTCTGTGTATCTGGGAATGGCGAAAACAGCCTTTCCCACTCCCTTGGAGGCCCTACAGAGGCTGAAAGGGCCCATTTCCCAACTCCCGATGGGACAGGAAGTGACGTTTTTTTCTGTCCCCAGCCTCCAGAACCTCTCTAGGAGTCTGTAGGAGCCTCTCTAGGAGTCTGTAGGAGCCTCTCTAGGAGTCTCTGGAGGCTGAGGACAGGAAAAAACATCACTTCCTGTCCCACTGGGAGTGGGGAAATGGGCCCTTTCAGCCTCCGTAGGGCCTCCAAGGGAGTGGGAAAGACTGTTTTCGCCGTTCCCAGATACACAGAGAGGATCTGGAGCCAGGTAAGAAAGAAAAATGGGCCTTCCCCACCCCCCAGGCCCTCCAGAGGCAGGAAACAGCCTGTTTCCCTACTTCTGGTAGGCCCAGAAGGCCCGAAAATCAGCTGGCCGGTGCGCGCATCCACCCCAGAGCTGAGCTGGCGTGCCCACTAATATGGCTCCGCGTGCCACCTGTGGCACGCATGCCATACGTTCGCCATCATGGCCCTAGATAAACATGACAAAATAAATAAATAAATACGAATTTATGCATATACCCACATATAAATTATATGATACAGAGAAACAACACAGTCTAGTTCGTATGTACACATGTACATGGTGAGAAAAACAAATCTTGCGAGTTTGCCAGACGGATGACATAGGGAACAAAACTATTGTAGAATCTGGTAGTCCTGCTAGAAGCAGCCATATTGTCATTAGGGCTAGAAGCCTTTGGTTCCATGTTTTTCATAGCCATTGTTCCTCATGGCAAGGATGATAACTATTTAAAAAACATATTGTGCTATTGACAAGAAAGCATAGTGTCAGAAATGATGTGTATTTAAAGAAATGTGGATTGAATATTAAAGTGAGCAACTGGAATGAAAAGTTTATTAATTTATTAGATTTATACATCTGCCTACATTATGTAATATTGTAATATAAAAATAAATAAATAAATAAACGAAAACAAAGTTTGTTGCTTCATAAGAGAAATTCAATTAGGATCAAATCACACACTAAATACATGAAGTATGAATGGATAAGAGGGAAGGGGAAGATTAGGAAAATCATGGTTGGAATGGCTCAATGTGAGCCCGCTCCCAAAAGGAGAGGCGTAAATTGTAAAGGATAAAGGATAGTTATGTAGATTTTTGAAAGCAAGGATGTTTTACAAAAATGGAAACATATGGAGAGCTATGGAGAATAGAATCAGTACAAACTGTTTAGCTATATACCTTTTGTTTCCCTTCATCTCTTTAATTTTGCTCTTACTATTTCTTATTCATTTTCTGTGCTTTGCATAATGTTGCTTACCGTGAAAGAGAATAGCATGTTGGGTATGGGTGTGTGTAGGTGGCAGGATTAGTAATCATATTTGCATGGGAGGGGGAGGTAGCAATGATAAAATTACAGTTGATGGACAGCATTTGTCTTCAAAAGCATTGCACAAATGTCCTTATTTACCCAACTGGGCTCGGAATTAATTCACTTTGAAATTCTGGATGGCCCCCTTTCCATTAAAGTGGCCTATGAGTGGCATTAGTTGAGCCTAAAGTGGGTGACCTTGTAAGTTTCCACTTTTCCCAGCTTCTTTTCTTTTCCCATTTGTCACTTTCTAACTCCCAGCTGCTTCTAGTTCCTTAGCAACACGGATCACCCTTTCCACTGTGTGACAATTTGCAAGTTGTATATGCTTCTCTCCAGCCAGGGATGAGGTGTGTGCATCCAAGAACTGAATATGAGAAGAACAGCACTACTACATAGGTTTCACACTGTAGCATTGGAAATATGATTAAAAACTTGATTATGTTTGCCACCTAGAAGCTATAGACTTTGAATTTGAATGGACAAGTATAATGAAATATGGGTCCTTTATACAAAATACAATAGGTGAAAAAGAATGTTAGTTACATAAGTGGATTAGAAATAAATAGATATGCACTTGAATAATTTTTACATTAGATAAATATATGCACAGAATTGTAAGGGCTAACTGTTATAAAGATATACTTTATTTCTTTTTTCATCTTTTAAATACATTTATGCATTGTGTTTTCTTTGCGAATATGTGCATTTACATCATAATTTTATTTGTGTTTTGTCATTTTCTGTTGCTAGTTAATTCAAAATTTTTAAAAAAATAAAACAACAGGTTTCATCTCAAACACAGATTTTATCAAAGATGGTTACACTCTTTTTGGGGTTTCTGTAAATAACAAGTGTAATTTCTTAAATACATCTATATTACATATTCAAACTAAAATTGCCTTCAGTATTTTCTTCACAGTAATAGTCTATATGTTTTTTGCTTTTCCTGCAGCCAGATCATTCACAACAGTTTACCGTTTTGTTTATTTGTAGTAGTAAAAGTTTAGTAAAAGTTTTAGTAGTAAAATATTGTAGAAGTATTTCTTAAAAGCAGTCTAGTTTATTCTTTGGTAAATATAAAAAGTTTAATTTAGATCCATAAATAATATACACTAAGCATATATATGTATAGCTGTTCATAATGTATCTCTCCATTTTAACCAACAGAAATTAATTCTTCTGCCTTGTTGATGAAATAAAAAAGGCAGTAATTCAAAATTGCTAGGACTTCTGAAGAAAACATGTGTCTATGATTTGATACTATCAATTTAATAAAGGGACCATTATGCTTATTAAGGAACACATTATTCAGTTATAATGTGTCCTGCAGTGACAGTTTTCCATGACTTGTTTTTAAATAGTTTATTCTAAGTAATATATATATAAACTGATTCATGAAATCTTGGAAGATTTCATGAATAAAATTAAGAAGTGTTTGAAGTTAGGTCACTAAAGGCTAAATAATTGAGAAGTAAAATTTAAACTTTTACCAATACTTTATTGGTATTGTGTTTTTTTACAGGAAGATCTCAAGTATAAATACATTAACAACAAAAAAGAAATGGAATGGAGACACAAAAAGGTAGCCAAGAAGTTATTTCCACTGGGAACACCCTTATTATCCAGCTCATCTTTCCCTGGCCTAATATCCATTAAATGGGTTGGATAACTTAAGCAAGACATGATGATAGATAGGGTGGTTGGAGCACAACTGAGAAACCCAAGATGAGGGAGGGGAAGTAGTTTGTACATAGTATCAAAATGTTAAAGTTCCAATAAATTATAGAAATTAAATGCTTATATAATAGCAATAGCACTTAGACTTATATACTGCTCCATAGTGCTTTACAGCACTCTCTGAGCGGTTTAAAATGTCAGCATATTGCTGGCTCCTCATTTTACTGAGCTTGGAAGGATGAAAGGCTGAGTCAATCTTGAGCTGGTCAGGATTGAATTCCTGGCAATAGGCAGAGTTAGTCTGCAATACTGCATTCTAACCATTGCGCCATAATTAAAATGTTGCATATGTTTGATATATGTAATTTGTTCAGCAAATGAAAATATACATTTATTTAGTTTACAGCAGCCGCTTTTAAAGGAGCTGTCATTGAACATAGAAAAAATTAATACATCTGTCTTAAAAAATGGTATTGCACAAATGTCCCCATTTCATACAGTGCAAGTGGGGAAAATGAGTGTTTTAGGCAAAAGTATATTTGTGAATAAGAATGTGATAAATATTACTAGGGATTGGCTCACACTCCAAAGATCTGTCTCTCTCTCTCTCTCTCTCTCTCTCTCTCTCTCTCTCTCTCTCTCTCTCTCTCTCTCTCTCTCTGGCGGGGGGAGAAAGAAAGAAAAAGAAAGAAAGAAAGAAAGAAAGAAAGAAAGAAAGAGAAAGAGAATAGATAGATGTAAGGAATGAATAGTGGTTAGAGCACCACCTTTGATGTGGGAGTCCAGAATTCAAATCCCAGGCGGTTCATGAGACATGAACTAGAAGAGTCATGCTGACTTGGACATCACTCAAATTAATAAGGTTTGAGTCAGATGTTGAGGGATGAACATCTAATAGTTGAGCTACTGGAACAATCCATACATGGACAAGACAGGAGAACCTGGATCTGATAGAATGCTTTTATAACAGCAGACCTAATGAAAGGGATATATGTAGCATTTGAGGGAACTATGGATGGACAGTAGACCTGTATCCACATTAACCAAGAAGCAGCTAGTTACCTAATGTTTCAACATAGTGAAGAGAAAGCTGCTAACTCAACTGGACCAACTACACATTACATCCCATATTCAAGAAGTTCAAGAAAACAACTGGATGTGTAGGCAACACCTGAAGCTGGAACATCATTACCATCCTCTCCATTACAGAGCATAGCTGCTGATATGAGGTATAATATCATGGATAAACTAGCTACAATCAATACCCACGACCAATTCCAAGGCTCAGTAGAGAAGTACCATCAGATAATATGCTAGCAGATGCAATAGAGTCCTCATGAAAATTCCTACTATGAGGGGTTCTTGGTGCTCTCTAAGCTTGCTTGTTTTCTTGCAGACGATTCATTACACTAACTAGGTAACATTATCAAAGCTAGTCCTGAACCAGATAAATAGAAGACAAACAGACAGACAGACAGACTCAGCTTCCACCATAGTATTTTTCCCCAATACTTACTCAAATGAATAGAATTATTGAGTTCCATGAGTGCACCATGTTGTGATTTTTTCTTAGATTTTCAAATATCACAATACAATTTACTATCCACTTAATAATTATTTTAGGCAATAAAATTAGAACTAAAATCAATAACCTTTTTTCCTCTCTTTACCAGGAAGTTATACTGCAAGAAACACTGTTTTATAATGGAATTAGACCAGGGCTTGGCAAATGGCTGCATACCCATTTTGAGAAATGAGTACTGAAAAAGCAACAAGCATGTCTACGCATTGATTCTGCTCGATTTCTATAACTTAACATGAAGATTCCACAAATGTAAAAAGTTTGATTTTCATTTGCCTCTCTGCCTCCCTGCCCTTAAATATTTTGAGATTTCTTCCTTCTCCCATTCAGATCTTTCAGTCACTCACTGTGCTGTCATTTCTTTTCTTTCAATATTTATTCCTGTCACCAATTTCTGCTGGTTGAGCATATTATATCTTTTTATTACAGTTTTAAAAAGAATAAGAAATGTAAACATAATGCATTTAAAATATTTTCGCCTTTGTGATCATTTTGATGGGATAATTGTGAGACTTCTGAGTCATAGATAAAACCTCTCCATTAGGCTTAGAACACAATAGCAAAAACCAACAGGCAATAGAAAATATTTAAATATTATGCAGCAATAAAAAGTGTATTAAATTAAAGTGAGGCATATTCATTAATTTAAAAGTTAATGTATGTGAAAAACAAAAATAAATATAAAACATGGACTTGAAAGATACATATGTATGTTGTCATCAATACCTCATTTTTTTTCTATCTTTGTTTAGTTTTGTCTTAATCTGCATCAATCTCAGTTTTCCCTCCCCCCACCAAAGTTTAAAAAGACTATATGATTGTGGATATTTTTTGTCTGTGTATTTTACCTTACATGTGTGTGTGCATGCTTGTAAATGATTTTCCCCAATATTATTAGGGAAATGATCGTTGGGTAAAAAAGGATAGTTTGCCTATCAAACATTCAGTGAATTTTTATTTGTACAAAATATGAAATTAAACTGTCAATGTCTAAACTGCATTGCTATTCATTTAAATGTGTTGGAGGAATATATTTCTCCCCTGTCTCTAGGCTAGGTTAGCCAATTAACTGAGCAATCAATAGAAGGTTTTATTTATATTAGATTGAACTCAGATCATGTCAAATATTTGGCTGAGCAGGAAGACAAGAAAAAAAAAAAGAAAACACCAAAATATCAACAGGCAAGTAAACTATATTAAAAATATCCAGCATGAGTTCCAAAATAATTCCTTTCTGACAGGCAATTTGATGTCCCTCAGATCTTTGAACTGTAATGCCTGTAATACCAGCTCACAGCTCCTTTGATTTGGCATATAGAAATTGAAATCCAGAATCACTGAAGAATGCCAGTATCTCAATTCCTAGTATAGAGAGTATCACTAGGAAATAGATTTTGACTGGAACTAATATATTAACTCCAATCTGATGCCTAGATGATAGTGCTACTATTTGTAATAGCACAGTATAATTGTCAGATCTGCCCTGGCTTGATCTTCTAGGCAAGAAAGATCCTCAGCTCCATTTTTAATGAAAGGTATACTTCATTAAAAGCCAAGTAGCAAAGTCATAACTAAAGTCCGAGCATCAAACTTTCCTAGTTAAATTCCCCCATCCAGTTCCTTCCCAGTTCCTCCCCCTTGCTGGTCTCTTATTCTCCAATTATATTTGAATACATTGTTTTGGGAATTATCTCTTCAATTGCGGGCTGGTTGGTGAACCATTGCGGTCCCAGCATTTTGACTTTGAGATGATGTCTCTGGAAGGTACGATGAGTAGTTAGCCTTCCCCCCTCCTGATTGCAATTGACAATTTGAACTGGACTTGTTCAAAGTTTTGGAAGACATTAACTTGGAGAAAACTTTGTAAAATGAATAAATTAACTTATCCTTTACATAAAGTGCAAATATTGTTAATGGAGATCTAATAAAGCCTTGTGAGATACAAAAGGGAACAACACAGGAACAGTTGGAAAAAAGTCATGAAATTTTTGTTTTTGTAAATGTTCTTCTATAAGATTTTTTATGCACAAAGATGGAAAGATGTCCCACAGTGGCAGAATAGTTGATGAAGATGGTAGAATTTGCAGAGATGGCCAAATTTATTTCTTTGATCAGACAAAAAACAGTATCTTCATTTTGTCAGGCCTGGAAGCCATCTTTTGCCTTGGGCCTTCAGGCCTGCCACATTTACTACTGTGGGAAATTGAGAGGGGGGATTGTATGGAGCAGGGAAGATAAATAGTCATAATAACATTCCTTTCTCAGAGAGTCAAGGACATATTGCCCTGCACCTGGAGGGGTGTGACTGTGAGGGATCTGCAGATGGGACAGTGCTTTGATTGGACCATGTGATGGACATGTGGGTCAGTAGTGGGTTTCAATTTAGTTTGCTACCGGTTCGCTCAGGTGCACGTGCAACGCTTCTGCACAGAGGTTTCTGCGCATGCACAGAAGCTTCCGGGTGGGTGGGCAGAGCCTCCCGCTGCCGCCACTATCGGTTCGCTCAATCTGAGGCAAACCGGTAGCAACCCACCACAGATGTGGGTGCTGGGCAGGGACCTGGACTTCCCTTTGGGTGGGGAAAACCTGGGAGTTTTCAGATTTGGGTTTTCCCAGATGTGCCAACATGACATCTCGAATAAAATGTAACTATGAGGAACTTCAAGCCTCAGAGTCTTCTTTCATTGGGGCTGTTACTTGGAGCCTTGACACATTTATTGCTACTTGAAAAAAACCCTTATGGACTCTCTGTGTAAAACAAAAAATGAAGTTAGGATTTATTGCTTTGATGATTAGACAGGATAGATTATAAAAAGAAGAGAATCATACTGTAACCTCAGAGAAAGAGGTAAATTTACCCACAGTACTTATAACTCCTGTAAAGAAGATTGGAAACCACTTCTTTGTATCTTTTTTCTTTTCTTTTTCTTTCTTTCTTGCACATTTAGCTTTGTCTTTGATTTCTTTCTTTTCTTTTCTCCTTTTTTACTTAATGTTAGTTTATTTTAAAACTGGTAATATTATTAGTGTATGTTCTAGGCTGATTCACATGATCTTATCTCCATGAATAAGAATGTATGGGAAAAGAAAATATTTTATTTAATTGAGTGTTCTGAGTGCTGAGAACTCACAGATTTTCTGATCCAGAAGGAACCCTGAATATTTACAGCAGATAAGGTGAGAAAAGTTATCAATAGTAAATTAATAAATAATTTCTAGAATTAAATTTTTGGGTGAACCATCTTTGTCCTCTTTGCCTTTTTTAAGAAGATATGAAAATACCAATAATTAAGTAGAGAAATATTAGAACACCCGATAAGATTATTATTATGAAATCATGGAAGTGGTACTAAAGCTGTTTATCCCAAAATTCTTTGTGTTACAAGCCAGATAATGCTGCCAGATATAAATGGTACCTCAATACAAAAATGTAGGAGAAGGAAAGGCAGAGGCTGGGAATAAAGAGACAAATCAGTCAAGAGTTATGTTCCCACAAATGATTTAAGTCCAACCACTCTTGACTTCCATTAGCTCTTATCTAACTCCAATTTAGTACTTACCACTAGTTTACTAGATTCTTATGTATAGGCATACAGACTCGGACGATGAGGAGGTTGGGGAGGAACTTGGGCCAGTTCTGGAATCTGGGGAAGGCTTTGATGGATGCTCTGCATTGCAAGCAGAGATAGAGCCAGGGCTGCCTGACATTTCCCAGCCACTGGAAAGATAGCTGCCTTTGGAGGCTGATATGAATGAGGAAGAAGAACAGCTGGGGCCTGTTCCAGATGCATGTACACGCAGAGCAGTTAGGAGAGGTGAACAACGGAGGACAAGGAGTTGACTTGGGAAGCAAAGAACACATGGACGCTGAATGCCCCTCTCTGGCTGGGGAATAAATAGAAAGAAAAGGGAGTGGTTGTCATAGGAGATAACAGTTCGTATTTCTGAAGATTTTGCTCATTGTGTTTCGTGCCACACAGACTGCTTGCCAGAACTTAATTTGAAGCCTTTCAGCTGGGAGCTCATGGCCTTGCAATTATTGCAAGGAACTGATAAGGTCTGTTATTGCAATTAACTCCTTGAAGGACTATTGCCTGGACTTTTCAGTGGGTGAATGCAATTAATTCACAAGAGGTAAATAGAGTTTTTTCATGACAAGGAGTCTGTTTCTTGCTTCTGCTAAGGCTGGGTCAGAACACATGATCAATAAATCAATTTAACTGAAACTTAACCTGAATTTTCGCATCTGACAAAGAGCCCTTTATTACTGTTTAAAGGATGCATGGTCCAAAAAAATTCAGTGTAAAAATTCAGTGTTATTTTTTATTTAATATGTTACTTATTGTTTATTCAGCTTTCCCATTAACTTTAACCAAAATCAATAAAACAACCATTACAAAAAAAATTGGAGAAACTTCAAGCCACAAGCTGCATTACTTCCACAACAGCAAGAGAAAAGAGCAAGGTAAGCAAAATAAGCAAAAGGATGATTGTACATTTATTAACTAATAGAAAAATCAATATCTTACAATGTCACAAATAAGTAAATGAACTGTCCCTGAAATGAGACAAAGATTTTTTTAAAAAGAAAAAAAAAGAGTATATTTCACATTCAAGTGTGTAATGAATTGGATCCTTAGCCTGATTTTGAAAAGAACAAATACTTAAGATGACCAATTCTGAGAAAATCAACTCAGGTGATAATTAGCATTTTGTGCCTTCATTTCGAGGCTGATGAAGGGCTGGTATTAACTTTGAAGAAATTATTTCAACCAGATGAACACAATGAATATGTGAAAAGAAGATGAAATCTGAGTGGCAATAATGAATGCAGGGTTATCATGCATTTCAGTGTCTATTGTTCTTCACTTGATGACTTCTTCATTATGTGGGCTTAGAGCTTTTCTAGTTTAAACTCAATTGATTGCTATAATTAGACTTTAATATTACTTCAGGCCTAAGGATATTATAATTCATTTCCACTAGCATCATCTGACAAACTGCAACTTGCTTTCCTTGGGAAATAGGAAAGCAACTGCAACTTGCTTTCCTATTCTTCTCACTTGAAGCTTGCAAAATATCCCAGGTTTTAAAATCTTAAATTCTTCTAGATTGCCCATATTTCTATCACCTAACCAGTAAGCAGGGATAGGCATCTTCCTTGAAGCTCGGGGACTACACATTGGTAAAACATATTTTACCAATTGTAAAACAAAACCAAAAAAATCATATTTTTGTCTTCTGAGGGTTTTATGTAGGACTTGTACCAGCATCTTGATGACATAAAAATAAAGTTTTCAGCTCATTTTAGGAGAAAGTGCGAGAATGAAGGGGTAGAATGTTGCCTTAAATGTTTTGAACCCATTTCATTCCTAAGAAAACTTAGAAAGTACCTGATTTTTCTGAGCCACATGGAGAATATAATGCAAAACATAAAACATTTTGTTCCATGTATTTTGTCAAGGGGAAAGATATAATTTTCAATTATGCAGTTGTTTTGAATTCTGATTTTGTACTTGGCTCTACCATCTGCCCAGTTTTTTTCAAAAGTGTAAAGAAAGGGAAAAAAAGGTGCCAGTATTTCAATTAAGGAGGAAAGAGTGAATATTGAAGGACAGGGAACTTGAAAGGAAACAGAATCCTGGTGAGGAGGGGCAGGAGGACCTCATTTTATTTGAGCTTTAAGAGTCAAATGAATAGGGG